TTTCCTCCCCCGTTCCTCCCCCTTTACTCCCCCGTTCCTCACCCGTTCCTCACCCGTTACTCACCCGTTCCTCACCCGTTACTCACCCGTTACTCACCCGTTCCTCACCCGTTACTCACTCGTTACTCACTCATTCCTCACCCGTTACTCACCCATTCCTCACCCGTTCCTCACCCGTTCCTCACCCGTTACTCACTCGTTACTGACTCGTTACTCACCCGTTACTCACTCCTTCCTCACTCCTTCCTCACCCGTTCCTCACCTGTTCCCCTTCCCCAGGTGTGGCCATGGAGGGGCTGCGGGGCCGGGACCCGCCCTGTGCCCGGAACATTCCAACCCTGTCCGAGGAGGAGGAGGAGGAGGAGCCAGGTGAGGATGAAGGTCCAGGTGAGGAAGAACCAGGTGAGGATGAAGAACCAGGTGAGGATGAAGATGTAGGTGAGGAAGAACCAGGTGAAGAAGACCCAGGTGAGGAAGAACAAGCTGAGGAAGAACAAGCTGAGGATGAAGACCCAGGTGAGGATGAAGACCCAGGTGAGGATGAAGACCCAGGTGAGGAAGACCCAGGTGAGGAAGACCCCGGTGAGGATGAAGACGCAGCCCAGGAAGAACCGGCTGGATCCCTCCAGGTTCTCCCCGCTCCTCGCCGGCCCCGCCTTTACCTGCGGCCCCGCCCGGCGCCGGACGAGCCGGGCCCCTCCCACCTGAGCCCGTGGGACCAGGTGAGCTCCGACCCCTCACCCGAACCGGGCGGGGCCTTCGTCCACCTCATCGACGAGCGCGGCGTCTACTCCACGGCCAAGCTGGTGCCAGGTGAGGAGGAGGAGGAGGAGGAGGAGGAAGAAATACCTGAGGGCGCCGCTCACCTGGAGATCCGCCGGGTGATCGTGGCCGAGAAGCCCTTCCAGTGCCCGGCGTGCCACAAGGGCTTCAAGCGCGCCTGGGAGCTGCTGAGCCACCAGGTGGTGCACACCGAGGCGCGTCCCTACACCTGCCACCTGTGCCAGGCCACCTTCAAGCGCCACTCGGACTTCAAGAGCCACGGGCTGGTGCACACGGAGGAGCGGCCGCACCGCTGCGAGCTGTGCGGGAAGCGCTTCAAGCGCTCCTCCAACCTCCAGGAGCACCGGCGCATCCACAGCGGCGAGCGCCCCTTCACCTGCCCCGGCTGCGCCAAAGCCTTCAAGACGCCCTACGAGCGCCAGCGCCACGCCCTCACCCACCTGGCGGCGGCGGCCGACAAACCCTTCCGCTGCGGCGAGTGCGGCAAGGATTTCCCGGCGGCCAACGCGCTGCTGCTGCACCGGCGGCAGCGCTGCCGGGACAAGCCGCACGCCTGCGGCGTCTGCGGCAAGCGCTTCACCTACGGCCACTCGCTGAAGGTGCACGAGCGCGTGCACACCGGCGACCGCCCCTTCCGCTGCGCCCTGTGCGGCAAGGCCTTCAAGCAGAGCAACGCGCTGGCCTCGCACGAGCGCGTGCACACGGGCGAGCGCCCCTTCGCCTGCCGCACCTGCGGGAAGGCCTTCAAGCAGTCGTCGTACCTGGCCATCCACCAGCGGGCTCACACGGGCGAGCGGCCGTACGGCTGCGAGGCGTGCGGGAAGGCGTTCGCCCGGCCCTCGCTGCTGCTGCAGCACCGGCGGGTGCACAGCCAGGTGAGGCCGCACCAGTGCGGGCACTGCCACAAGTTCTTCAAGGACCTGGCGTACCTGGCGGTGCACGAGAAGGTGCACACGGGGGAGACGCCCTACAAGTGCGGGGTGTGCGCCAAGGGCTTCGCGCACCCCTCCAACCTGCTGCAGCACCGGCGCGTGCACCGCGACACCTGAGGCGGCAGGTGAGGGGAGGGGGACGGGGGTGCTGGGACAGGTGTGGAGCCCAAAATCGTGGTTTTGACCCCCAAAAACGGCAGCTGTGACACCTGGACTGCGACACCTGAGCCCCGGGTGGAGGATTCGGTACCTGTGAGCCAGGACAGGTGTGGACCCCAAAATCGTGGTTTTGACCCCAAAAAATTTCAGCTGTGACACCTGGACTGCGACACCTGAGCCCCGGGTGGAGGACTCGGTACCTGTGAGCCAGGTGTGGACCCCCCCAAAATCACTCGTGGACCCCAAAAACAGCAGCAACACCTGGACTGCGACACCTGAGCCCCAGGTGAAGAGAGCCAGCACCTGTGACCCAGGACAGGTGTGGAGCCCAAAAATCTGGAGCACCTGGAACACCTGGAGCACCTGGTGGATGAAGCTTCAGGTGGAGGACTCGGTACCTGTGAGCCAGGACAGGTGTGGAGCCCCCAAAATCACCTGTGGACCCCAAAAACAGCAGCAGCAACACCTGGACTGCGACACCTGAGCTCCACGGGTGAGCCCCAGGTGAGACGATGCTGAATCTGCACACCTGGGCAGGTGTGGGCCTGGACCTGCACACCTGGACAGGTGTGGGCCTGGATCTGCACACCTGGACGGGTGTGGGCCTGGACCTGCACACCTGGACAGGTGTGGGCCTGGACCTGCACACCTGGGCAGGTGTGGGAACCCCGGAGCTGGGACCCAGGACAGGTGTGGAACCCAAATTCTGCAGCACCTGGAGAGCAACACCTGAGCCCCAGGTGAGGGGATCCTGTACCTGTGAGCCAGGACAGGTGTGGGCCCCAAAAAGCTTCAGCACCTGGACAGGTGGGGGCACCTGAGCCAGGCGTGGAGGCCAAACTGCAACACCTGGACTGCAACACCTGAGCCAGGCGTGGAGGCCAAACTGCAGCACCTGAGCTCCAGGTGTGAACCCCAAACTGCAGCACCTGAGCCAGGTGTGAACCCCAAACTGCAACACCTGAGCCAGGTGTGAACCCCAAACTGCAACACCTGAGCTCCAGGTGTGGACCCCAAACTGCAACACCTGAGCCAGGTGTGAACCCCAAACTGCAACACCTGAGCTCCAGGTGTGGACCCCAAACTGCAGCACCTGAGCCAGGTGTGAACCCCAAACTGCAACACCTGAGCTCCAGGTGTGGACCCCAAACTGCAACACCTGAGCTCCAGGTGTGAACCCCAAACTGCAACACCTGAGCTCCAGGTGTGGACCCCAAACTGCAACACCTGAGCCAGGTGTGAACCCCAAACTGCAGCACCTGAGCTCCAGGTGTGAACCCCAAACTGCAACACCTGAGCTCCAGGTGTGGACCCCAAACTGCAACACCTGAGCTCCAGGTGTGAACCCCAAACTGCAGCACCTGAGTTCCAGGTGAGGTCCCGGCGTGGTCACACCTGAGCTGTGACGTCACCGACAGCGGATGAAGAACTGGGAGACCCCCGAGGTTCACCTGCGGCCAGGTGTGACCCCAGACCTGCCAGGACTCACCTGAGCCCTCACCTGAGCTCGGGATGGATTTTTGGGGTGCTCCAGGTGCACACCTGGGTGGGCGGGGCCTTCTCAGGACCTGGGTTTGTACCCTTGGATGATGGTGAGCTCACCTGGGCACACCTGAGCTCACCTGGGGCTCACCTGAGCTCACCTGAGCTCACCTGGGCTCACCTGAGCACACCTGGGGCTCATCTGGAGCTCACCCGAGCTCACCTGGGGCTCACCTGAGCTCACCTGGGCTCACCTGGGCTCACCTGAGCTCACCTGAGCTCACCTTTTCGGGCGGTACTTGTAGCGCTGGGGGGGGAGGGGGCGGGGCACACCTGGATCATTCATTAAAAGATTGTTAATTGATGACGTCATCGCCAATCTCACCTGAGTCACACCTGGAGAACACAGGAACCCCCAAAAATCCACACCTGTCACACCTGGGGGGTTGGGAACACCTGAAATTCACACCTGGGGGGTTGGGAACCTCCCAAAATCCACACCTGAAGGACACATTGAACTGGGATGGCCACGCGCTGCTGCTGTGGGGGGTTGGGAACACCTGAAATTCACACCTGGGGGGTTGGGAACCTCCCAAAATCCACACCTGTCACACCTGGGGGGAGGGGGACCCCCCCCAAATTCTTACCTGTCGCACCTGGGGGGTTGGGAACACCTGAAATTCACACCTGGAGCGTGGGAGAACCCCCAAATTCACACCTGGAGAACATGGGACCCCCAAAAATCCACACCTGTCCCACCTGGGGATCGGGAACCTCCCAAAATCCACACCTGGGGGGGTTGGGACCCTCCCAAAATTCACACCTGGAAAACACGGGACCCCCAAAAATCCACACCTGTCACACCTGGGGATCGGGAACCTCCCAAAATCCACACCTGTCACACCTGGGGATCGGGAACCTCCCCAAATTCCCACCTGGAGTGTGGGAGACACCCCAAATTCACACCTGGAGAACATGGGACCCCCAAAAATCCACACCTGTCCCACCTGGGGGGTCGGGAACCTCCCAAAATCCACACCTGTCACACCTGGGGATCGGGAACCTCCCCAAATTCCCACCTGGAGTGTGGGAGACACCCCAAATTCACACCTGGAGAACACGGGACCCCCAAAAATCCACACCTGTCCCACCTGGGGATCGGGAACCTCCCAAAATCCACACCTGTCCCACCTGGGGGCTCAGGAACCTCCCGAAATCCACACCTGTCCCACCTGGGGGGTTGGGAACACCTGGAATTCGCACCTGTCCCACCTGGGCGCAATCCAAAACAATTCCAAGTCCACACCTGGAGGATCCAGGCACCATTTTGGATTTATTCACCTGCCCAGGTGTGTGGGGACACCTGAGGCCCTCAGGTGCTGCCAAGGAGGGGTGGTGGGGGAGGGGCCAGCTGAGAGCAGCCAGGTGAGGGATTCCAGGTGAGGGATTGCAGGTGAGGGATTGCAGGTGAGGGATTCCAGGTGAGGGGTTCCAGGTGAGCTCCAGGTGAGCTCCAGCAGGTGAGGAATTCCAGGTGAGCTCTGCCAGGTGAAGATTCCAGGTGAGGGGTTCCAGGTGAGCTCCAGGTGAGCTGCACCAGGTGAGTTCCACCAGGTGAGGGGTTCCAGGTGAGGGATTCCAGGTGATCTCCAGGCTCCTCCAGGTGAGCTCCACCAGCTGAGGGGTTCCAGGTGAGGGATTCCAGGTGAGGGATTGCAGGTGAGGGATTCCAGGTGAGGGGGTCCAGGTGAGCTCCAGGGGAGCTCCAGCAGGTGAGGAATTCCAGGTGAGCTCTGCCAGGTGAAGATTCCAGGTGAGCAGTTCCGGGTGAGAGAGGCCAGGTGAGGAGGCTCAGGTGAGCAGTTCCGGGTGAGAGCAGCCAGGTGAGGTTCAGGTGAGGAGGTTCAGGTGAAGATTCCAGGTGAGTGGTTTCAGGTGAGGTTCAGGTGAGAGCAGCCAGGTGAGACATGAGGGGCGCCAGGTGAGGGATTCCAGGTGAGGGATTCCAGGTGAGGGATTGCAGGTGATCTCCAGGCTCCTCCAGGTGAGCTCCACCAGGTGAGGGGTTCCAGGTGAGGAATTCCAGGTGAGCTCCACCAGGTGGTGGATTCCAGGTGAGGGATTGCAGGTGATCTCCAGGCTCCTCCAGGTGAGCTCCACCAGGTGAGTTCAGGGGGCGTCGTCCATCAGCTGCAGCGCCTCGGCCTCACCAGGTGAGGCTCTCCTGGGCAGGTAAATGGCGCTGGGGGCCCTGGGGGTGTCCAGGTGAGCTGGGGACACACCTGCCGTTACCTGGGGTGGCCTGGCTGGCACCTGGGAGGGGGCGGGGCAGGGGTGGGACTCACCTGGGACACACCTGGCCCTCAAGGTGAGCCAGAGCAGGGCCCCGCCCACCGACGTCAGCAGCACCAGCAGCGCCACCAGGTAAGCGCAGCTGGGAGCCGCACCTGGGGGGGACAGGTGAGGGGTCGGGGGGAGGCCTCGCACCTGTCCTTACCTGTCCTGGTCCTTCTCACCTGTCCTGTCCTCACCTGTCCTGGTCCTTCTCACCTGTACTGCCCTC